TGGAAAACCAAAGATTGTTTACAACTCGTATAAGAGCTCAATGGAATTGGGTACGTTAACTTGCATACAATACACACATGCACATGAACCCAACCCTCAGCACACAGAATATAATATGTGGAGATCAGACTAAAGATCAACTGTTACATTGCAATCCTATTTATACAATAATATATATGACATATCATCATATACATAACGAAAGCATCTGAATAGATTCGTCAGCTCACAAATACCCAAATATATATGACTTTTTTCTTCAGATTTACATGTATTTATATGCATCCTATTTTTCCTTTATGTATTCCTACAAATCATCTTTATTTGGGCTTTTAATGGGACTTCTTTAGTGACATGACCAAGTTACATATTATGTGTGCAAATGGGATTGGAAGGGAACTTTGATATCACCTCACCGTTCCTAGCTATCTGCATAGAGACATTTGAGTACATGCTATACAACATACACACTTTGTGAATCGGGAAGAAATTAAAATTAAAAGAAAAAGTAATATTAATATTAACATCTACGTACACATGTATTAACCAGAGTTGCTGCAAAAATTGAGTAGAACTTACAAAAATGAAAGATATAAATACATATTTATAAAGTTCCTATATATTTAATGAATGGCAAAAGATGTGCATATATTATAAAATTATGACTAAATAAAGATATGAACAAGTATAAAATTCTCTTTTCTTTTGCTCTCTTCTCTTTACTTAGTAAAGCTCAGGCACAGTACTTTAGGGCATTTTTATACCCAATACTCAAAATGAGTATTGGGGTATATTAGATTTGTGGTAAAAGTGGATGTGTGTAACGTCCAGAAGGAATCGTTTCCGACCCCATAAAGTATATATATTCTTGATCAGCATCAATAGCCGAGTCGATTGAGCCATGTCTGTCTGTCCGTCTGTCCGTCCGTCCGTCTGTCCGTCCCCTTCAGCGCCTAGTGCTCAAAGACTATCAGAGCTAGAGCAACGATGTTTTGGATCGAGACTGCTGTGATATGTCACTGCTACAAAAATATTTCAAAACTTTGCACCGCCCACTTCCGCCCCCACAAAGGGCGAAAATCTGTGGCCTCCACAATTTCGACGATACGAGAAAACTAAAAACGCAGAATCATAGATAATGACCATATCTATCAGATTGCTGAATCTGGATCAGATCAGATCAGATCATTTTTATAGCCAAAAGGAACAAATCAATTTGCACTGGCTACGCAGCGCCCGACGTCACGCTCAGACTGATTTTCTGTCTCTCTCGCATGCACTCTTTGTCGTGTCGTTTAATATTAGCGGCGTCTGCCGGAGGAGAGCCATACTGACTTAGTATCGGGTATAACTGTAGAGTTGCGGTGTACGCAGCAACTCACAACGTTCCTTCTCTTTACATATTGTATTGCCCAAATTTGATAATACCAAAGACTAGCGGGTCCTAACATTAGAACCCAAAAGGCACGAGGGAGCGCGCGGGGTTTCAATTCCCTTTTCGCCTGTACTTTGTCTCTACCGCGACCCCGCTGCCCATCGGTTTCGTCTGTTCGGCAATTCTGGACTCTCGAGCCTCAGCACCGTCGAAGCGGTGGTCGCGGATCGCCGATGCTTTGGAGCGGCACAGTGGGAAAATTCGATTGGAAAATTCTCTATTAGATGCGTACATTAAATTTATCTAAAGCACTCATACTATTTTTGCCCTACGGTTTCGGTACGCAGACGATTCATATTTTGTTTTTGTATTCTTTCTCTCGAGACACACCGACTCGACGCTGACCGAGGCATTGACGAAGCCGAGTAGCATTTCGGAGGCGAAGGTAGCGTAAAAGAGAATTGAAGTAATAGCCCCGCGCGCCCTTACCATGAAGCGTCAAAAGAAAATTGAAAAAGAATTTGTTCCTCATGCAACATCTTGGTATTGTATAGTCTTTGATAATACTCTCTTCTTTCTTTCTTTTAGACGGGGTATAGTATCGTTTTGATCTGCTATTTCAGAAAATCAGTCTGAGCGTGACGTCGGGAGCTGCATAGCCAATGCAAATTGATTTGTTCCTTTTGGCTATAAAAATGATCCAATCTGATCCAGATTCAACAATTTGATAGATATGGTCATTATCTATGATTTGGCGTTTTTAGTTCTCTCGAATCTGCAATATTGCCGATGCAACAGATTTTTGTTCTTTGTGGGGGCGGAAGGGGATGGGGCGAAATTTTGAGACCAAACGGTCAAGGTCCGATATCACAGGAGTGTGGATACCTAATTTGGTTGCTCTGGCTCTTATCGGTTCTGAGATCCTTGAACTCACATTTTGCTATTGGCAAAACCGACCATGAAACCTGTGTGTTAGACAGAGACAGAGCGAGAAAGAATGAAATTGTTTTCTTGATTCTGGCTATAATAATTATACGATCTGGTTCCGATTTTGCACTCTGGAAGATATTATTATACTCTACGATTTTGCGTTTTCAGTTTTTTCGTATCTCTGAATTTGTGGATGCCACAGATTTTCGCCCTTTGTGGGGGCGGAAGTGGGCGGTGCAAAGTTTTGAAATGTCCTTGTAGCAGTGGCATATCACATATCACGGATATAAAACGTCGTTACTCTAGCTCTTATAGTCTTTGTGCACTAGGCGCTGATAGGGACGGTCAGACGGACAGACAGACAGACAGGGCTCAATCGACTCGGCTATTGATGCTGATCAAGAATATATATACTTTATGGGGTCGGAAACGATTTCTTCTGGACGTTACACACATCGATTTTCACCACAAATCTAATATATCCCAATACTCATTTTGAGTATCGGGTATAATTAGGTATTTAGCGGGGTCATAATGATAAGTATCCTATCCGGATTGTGAAGGAGCCGAAACTGCTCTTCAACATCGGGGAAGTACTAGCAGTACTAGTAGTAGAAGGTAACGACCAATGCAGACGATCTGCCATCACTGTTAGCGTGAAAGTGTCTGCCCTTAATCAGTGGGCACTCAATTATTAGAGTTAAAACTTGGCACGGCAAAACGTTGGCAAAATAACACTTAAGCATCCTTGGCTTAAAACTTTCCTAAGAGGCTAGGGAAGGAAATAAGACATTCTACTTCATGATGGCGTTTTCACTACGACACTCACCACCATCATTAGGGAATTCGTACATTGCCCGTAGGCAACGAGTGTGCAGAGAGCGCCAGAGCCGGATCGGTACAAAAAAATCGAATTATATCCTGAGATAGATATGATGTACATATGTATATGTTATATATTATATTATATGTAATGTAACCTATACAAAATGTTTTTTACGTAATTATACGTGAACGGCGGAGTTTGTATCGAAATCGATTGGTGGCGCATCCTTTGTCTTTTGGTATCGGAATTCTCCAAAGGCACAGGAGGGATTTTTGTAGGACGTCAAAGCTCGCTCTTGCTATGAGCGATGGGAAAAACATAGTGAGAAAGAGACGAACCGCAACCGCTACTTACATATGTTCTAATATTAGTTCTTACATATTTTTTGCTCTTTGTATCGAATGATTCGAGTTTTATAATATTTGGGAGTATGCTGGAAATTGTTTTCATCATCATGGCTATAATAATGACAGGGCCCGGGACAGAAATCTATATAATATACTAATATGTTAGTATAGCTTGTTAGTATAGAGCGAACAACTGTCGACTTTTGACCTCCGACTGCAAAATCTTATACTCGCTCTGACCCCACATTGGCAAAGACGCGTCTCAGTAGCAAGAATGAAGCAGGTATCGAGAAAGTCGAACATCTTATAGCTATAATACCTAATACGGCATGAACTAATCGTTCTAATAGACAATTGAACCTTTAACAAATTCCAAGAATTTACATCCGTAGGTATAAAAAAATAAATAAAATAAAGATGTCTTACATTGTTTTCCTACAATAATATAGTTGTTGATAGTAACGTTTTTTCCATTTGACCAGACAGAAGAATTATGGAGAAATATCATGAACAGTACTTACATTCATTTAAGGAAAATATAAACCATTTAAGGATTTATTATGGCCTAGAAAGTGTTTGCATTTTCTACAATGAGCAAACGAAAAAAAACACATAGATATGAAATATTATCTTAGTAAAACATATTCGAATATACATATATAAGAATATACATACGTACATTAGTGCTACTTTTTAATATATATAAATAGTAATTAATTAATACACACAATATACACATTTCGTCACAGTCTTCCGAATTACATCTGTATTTATGTCACAATTATATATAAGTAAGCATATGAATTTGTATGTAATTATTTATGCTTCAAAACCTTTTCCTAAAACTTCTAAATCTGCTTCGATAACTTCTCTATTTCGACATATAGAAAAAAAGCTTAGCCGTACTCGAATGTACTTATGGGAGACAGACATTTATGGAAAACGATTTCGTAGGGTCTCTCCAGAAACGAAAAAAATTACAAATATAGTGAAAAACTTTAATACATTTTTATGCAATGCAAATTTGCTATTCTTCAGTATTCGATATAACATAGATTACAAAATCTGCAACACCACAGGGAAAAGACGATCGATGTTTTGGCACAAATGTTCTATGATAAGATAATTGTTTATGAATGTGTACGTGTTCGGAGGTACAGTACCGTACCAGTCGCACTATGATATGTACATAACAAAACGGATCAGAAATTATTATGAATACATTTATTAATGTATATACATAACCGACAAAACGTTCTTCAAATTGTTATTTGGGTATTGAAAACGGTATTTAAAATGTGATGATTTGTTTTCCAGTTATGAACGCACATAGCGAAATATCTAATCGAAGAATTTCCCAATTAACTAAGCTTTCTTTGCAGCTTTCGTTTAATCAACTTATTAAGGCAGTTTAAAACGTTAGAAATCTTCGCATTACAGCGGAAAATGGCCCAATTTTCTTATTATAGAGACCTTTTTTAGCACAGAATTATATTTATTCTGCCTAGACAGTAATCGTTAAGTTGTAATGCAATACTCTTCGGTAATAAGTTTGTTTTACTCAAAGCACACAATGAACAATTAGTATCTATTCATATAACCTGGACTTTGATTATAAAACAAATTGTATATTATTTTAAACAGTTTTTATGGAAGCTTGTAAATTTTTGTCTATATTTAAATAAATATACGCGTTATGGCGGTAATAGTTGATTCATTTCAAAAGTCACCAATCAGCCGCTCAAAATATTACGTTGGTGTTCCGTTGAATATTCTACGTATACTGTTTATTGGTTGCACCTTTAAAAACTGATTTTATTGTTATAGTAATGCGTTGCTAACATACATTAATAAAAATGTAAATAATATTAGAATTACATAAAATACAAAATCATTTATGTAAAGTACATAAATCCTTTGCTTATAACCTTTTAACATTGTGTAATTAAATTTAAGTTCGCAGTGTCCACACACGTATGCATTTAGTTTAATAGTTATTAGTAGGACACTTTGAACGAACATACATACATACATGTCTAGTACATCATTTTGCCCATTGTGAAGTATTTACATACATACAAGAGTATATCAATATTAATATTCATACATACATATGTATGCAAATAGTATGTATTTATGTAGTATGTACATTGACATTGGTAGTAGCTACTACTATTTTCGATCTTGTTGTTTGGTTACCCAATAGTTAAATTGCAACAGTGAATTGGTGTACATGTAAGTACCGGATATTACCTCTAGTTTATCAAAACGTTTGATGTGTCTTCATTTGTGACAATTTCCGACAAAAATTCAATTCGTGACGGTATACAGTATTTAAATAAAATCAAAACTGAGATATCATTCATTAAACAAGTTAAAATGGTTACGATTTTACATGAGTATTCATTTTGTTAATATTCGCATTTCATATTTGTACGTATTCGTATATATTTATAAGAGCCATGCATAAATCTACTGTTAGTTTCTATTATATCAGTATTCAAGGCAGTTGCTACACTTTTATCACTGTTTTGACCGTCTTGATTCTTATCACCTAAACATAATGAAAATGGCGGGCAATAGTTGTTACAGAGGTTTTCAGGCTCGTTGCTTACCATTTTTAAATTAAAAAGTTAAATTCGTTGGTTTTAATGTTGGCAATGTCCCATAAAATCAAGCAAAAAATACATCATTCATAGGCATTTTATATTATTCGTATATGTATGTAGTTTAATTTTTCCCTCAAACGAGACGCCATTTAAAGTTTCGTTTAGGGGACTTGGATCATGCGATCACACTGCGACGGCGAAGGGTGTTAGTTTCACATTACTTATAATGTATCCTTTACTTTCGGTTCATGCAAGGCTCTAGTAGATGAATATTATCAAACTGTTTGTAAGTTCGAGTAAGTAACAAATTTTTTGTTACTATGCAAATTTAATTTTCGTTTACGTATATATTATTATTATATTCAATTATTATTGTTTTCTCCAATTTTAGTATGTAACGCTACATCAAAGAAAAATCTATTGGGCGAAGTCTTTGGTTATCTTACTTATAAAATCTAAGGTTTACTTAAACTAGAATCGGCAAGGCCGGAGATTGATAAATATTGCTGAGATGCGGCGAGACGCAAAAGTAGCTGTATCGTACCCTACGATTTACATTCGCATCGAGCCGCATTATTCGTATCGTTGTGATTCTGGTTACGTCAATTGCTGTTGTTCTTGTTCTGGGTGCTTAAATCAGAAACCTCCGTATCCGCTTATGTCGGACGGCTTGAGACGATCAAAAACGCTGAGATGATGCGTAGGATGACTATGGTGGGAGTGATGATGGGTATGGGGATGACCATAAGATGGATAGTTTGCCTGTGGCGTGGTGTGACTATACGGGTGGGCATATGGATAATTTGGACTTGGCACATGTAATGTAGTTGTGCTGCCTGTAGCCTGCACAGGACTGCCCAGACCGTAGTGGCCATGAGCGGCAGCATATTCGCCTGGACCACCTGTGCTATGTTGGGGATGCGATCCGTATGCTGTTGACGCGTACACTGAATTCACATTTACTGGTGGCATATGAGCCATATGACTGGCAATGTGCGCATGATCCATATACATTTGTGGATGCGTATGTGGATGAGGATGTGTGTGTGGGTGTGGATGCGGATGTGGTTCTGGATTATTTATTGTTGCTCCCAACGCGCTAGTGATCAAATGTGTGGCATGATGCGGATAACCGGTGGGGCTATGGATGGCATATTCATTGCTGGTGCTGCAATTATTCTGATTATTATTACTACTTTCGCTGCTGCCTCGGGTTTCCGCCCTGCTGGTATATGCAGTTACGTTGTCCGTTGTCGCAGCAGAGGCAGCGAGATTGCTAACAGAAAAATTATTATTCAGTACATTGCTACCGTCGTTCGCAGATCTGCCTGACTCCACCTGTACTGGGTTGTCCTGGTGGCAACGTTTCTGTTGCTGCTGCTGTTGGTGTAGACCCAATAATCGACTTTCAACAGCGGCAGCAGCAGCTGCTGCCGTTGCTGGTGGTATGGGGGTGGAATCATGCTCTCTGATAGCGGGGATTTGATCAACCAGTGACTCTAAGCCCGACAAGCTCTTACGTGCGACATCTGACCCGATTTGGACAGATGTACTTGGGTTCTGACTCTGCAAGTTTCCCAGTTGAGGACTCTGCTCTAGCTGATGGTGGGGAGACATTAGCAAATAGGGATTTTGCTCCTCATAGCGCTGCCAGTGCTCCGACGGTTCCTGATGGTACTGCAATGGCTGTGGCTGCTGATGCATTTGTTGAAGAATTGGTTTCTGGCCTTGATGCGTATGCGGTGAAATCCACTGCTGATAATGATCCTGAGAATGTACTGCGTTAACATCTGCTTCAGGGCCAGGACTAACATATTGGGCCTTGTCCACGGTTTGCGATTGCTGTTGCCCCATGCCGAGTCCTTGCTCCTGTGCCTGCCCTTGGGTCTGCTCCCGGCCTTGCCCATCAGGGTTATCATCTGGTTGATCGAAATCGACTGCGGTGCACATGTTTGGAGAATTAGGCGGCGGCGTTTCGCCTAGGTGCGGTTGATCTCGAATGCCGATGCCTAATCCCATTGGCTGGCTCTGTTTTTGGGACAGCATGTGATCATTCTGCTGATCAAGAATAGGTGGCGTACCATGAGCAGCAGAAACCGACTGACCCACTGGCGGAGTTCCATGTCCGTGTATTTGAGTGTAGTTGCAGTTTAGTGCTGGGGAAGCCATTGGCGACGCCGATGCCGTATACAGTATATGCGAAGGTGGCGGCGTATTGTATAGACTGGGCGGAATCTGATGGTTGCTCTGTGGTGATGATGCAATATGTTCCATCGAGAGCGGGTGCATGGCAGACAATCCTGGTGGCTGTGAGTTGGGATTTGCATTAGTATGTTGGTGATGTTGCTGCTTGGCTGGTATTATGTTATCCATTGTGGGTTTTAGTTTCTTTGGCCTGCCTCGCTTTTTTTTTGGCATTTCCGGATTGCCTCCACCCGCAATCATGGAAAGATTCATAATATTATTAAAGTCGTGGTGTGCCATTTGTTGACTGCTCATTGTGATTTTGCTTCCTGTGGAAGGATCAGTCATTTCTTGCCCCTTCACCTTCTTTGGTCTGCCGCGTTTCTTTTTCTCTTGAGGCTGCTGTGGTAAAGCCTGCTGATGTCCAAACAAATAAGTGTTTTCCCCAATAGTGGTGTTTGGTGCATTTCTTATAGTATTATCATCGCCGGTGTATGCAAACGTTCCGCGTTCATTTACACTGTTAGGCGATGGCACATTAGGAGTCATATGTGGCAATAATTTCTCAGACATCTGACTAGGACCTTCAACACTTCCACCTTCGCTACCACCGCCACCACCACCGCCATCGACAAATATCAAGCCAACTTGCTGTTCAGCATGCGGTTGTATAGTATTGTTGACATCAGGCTGCTGCTGCTCACTGCATTGACGTATGCGCTGATCTGTGAATACGCACTCTGACTCATCAATGTTAGGTATTAAACCATTCAGAAAGTCGCGAAACTTCTTTAGCGCCGCATAGAAGGGAACTTTATCTGCGGCGCGTGGCAGCTGTGCGCATCGTGCTGATGATGAAGGCATCACCCAAATGTACTGCAATAAAATAGAATTTTTGTCATTTTTCGCGTATGGGAAATTCAAAAGAAAAAAAATAATAATAAAAAAATTGTATTGACATTTAAATGATTGAAATTCACAGTCGGTAGATAACAACTCACTGTGTCAGTGCCATCGACCCGATCAGGTTGACGACCAAAGTGAAATTCCTTTTTACCCGAGAAAACTTCGAATATAAGTTTTCCATTAAAAACGGCGACTTTGGGGCGGAATCTTTGCAGTTTTTCGAGCAATATGCGGCTTCCCTCCTTGATTTCTTTCCTGGTCAAGTCAGCCGAACCTTTTGTGGCACGCGCCACCATATTAGTAAAGCCAATGCCATGATTAAGCAGCTTGTGATCGTCATCAGCGCTCATTTGCTCCTGCGTGAGTCCAGCCAAGTACAGGCACTTCCAGAAATGATTTCCAGGTCCAGCGTAGTGATGTCCCTTATATGCCGCAAAGAGACCAGGGTTTATACCGACCTGCAAAATGTAAGTGAAAGGTTTTCAAAATAGCTCTCAAAACTAGACTTGGTTTGGGAAATAAGGTGACGTGATCGCATTTCATCCGAAATTTACAACTCACTATAACGATATCGAGATTATCACATAGGTGGTCTGGAATAGTCCTTTTAATGACCTCCGCCTCGGACATGCCATTGAATCTGTCGTGCTTCTTGCGCTCCTTGGGCTTCATTCCCAGTAGTGAATCGCCAGCAGCATCGTCGCAGCCAGAATTAGCGGCACAGTTTCTTTTGAGCAAAAGTCGATATCAAAATATATGAAATACCCGCTTCCTTAAGCCTGTGGCAAATATATAAATGCAGACAGTACTTACCCCGGTTGAGAAACGGATGCAGACATTTGCATTGCGTCTTCCTCAGTTATAAGCTTCTTTTTTCGACCTCTCTTCTTCGGAGTTGGCTTAGATGGCAGACCGCAGAGAGAGCTATCAGTTGACTCAACTTTATCTATGTCATTGTAAGGCTCGCTGTTGCGCATATGCTGTTGTGGATGCTGATGTTGATATATGTCCCCTCTAGAGCACTCTGTGTTTCCACTTGGCACTGAAATTGGAGCCGGCACGCCTGCATAACTTGCCGTATTTGAGGCGACGTCCTCTATATGGCGACTAACCGGCGAAAGCATGCGCATCTCCTCGCCCATGAAGCTATATGGATCAACACCAGCAGCATTAGCATTGCTGGAAAGATGTGGCAGGGGCGGAGGAGCTTGTGCCTGATTGCCATTGGTGCCAGAAGCTGGTGGGGCGGCAACGGCTACTGTATTATGGGATGACACCAGCTCTTCCGTTTTGCTTTGACTTAGTTGCATTAGCCCAATATTGGGGTGTTGCATCTGATGCTGTGGTGTGACAGAGTGTGTCGATGAGCTGTGGGAATTAGGAGTCAGAACATCGCCAGCACTGGTCTCGTAGCCATCGTCTTGATTTTCCGGCTTCACATTACCGGGAGAGAGCGTTCTGTAAAAGACAAGTGTAATAACAGAATGCGGAAAAATTTAAGATAGAGAATAAAAACATAAAATCACAAGAAAATATTAACCATTTCATTATGATACTGCCGATAAGACATTCTTCAGTACATCAGAGTATTATTATACCTATTTTACTGAATACTTTTCATTACTTACAATTTGTACGCCGAGTTTGGATCTTCGTGAAAATCATCCATAATGAGATCGTGATAAGCTTCGTGTATTTGTTGTTGTTGTTGTTGCTGTTGTTGCTGCTGCTGCTGTTGCTGCTGCTGGCCAAGAGGAGATGGCTGATGCAGATGCCCATGACACTCCATGTGATGTGGAAGCTGTTGCTGCTGCTGGCGATGATGATCACTGTGATGTACTCCAAAGAGTTCAGAATGCTGAAAATGTGGGTTATAGCTGGAGTAGTTTGCATGCTGCTGATTTCGGGAGTTTTGCTCATGAATGTTCTGCTGATGGTGGTGCTGTTGCTGCATCATTTGTGCATACATATTGCTATGCAGCTGACTATCAAGGATTTGTTGTTGCCCGTATTGGCTCTGTGTCGAATTATCATGATGATGCTGCAGGGTTAATGGAAGTCCTTCACTTGCTCCTGAGCTTTCTTTCTCGATCTGAAGCAACAGTTCAGAGTGTCGTTGCTGCTGTACCGTTCGATAAGGCAGCTCTGAGCCTACATTCACAGAACCCTGCTTGGTGTCGTCTGGTGCCGTTGTCTCTGGCGTTGTTACCTGCACTTGCTCCTCATCATGTGGAGCCCATATCGAAGCCCTTCGATCTGCCAGCAAAATATCACCAGTTGCTGCTGCTAATGCTAAGTTAGTAGGAATTCTTACATTCAAATTGGAGGAGTCATTTACACAACCATCGATTTTATCATTTGAAAAATATTTTGTCGAATTGGAGGAACCAGTGGCATCATAGAGAGCACCCGAATTGTACTGCCGTTTGTTGGTGTTGATCAAAGATGAGTCTCCCCCTGACCCATTACATGGCTCCTCCAAGTGTCGTACAGCTGCTGTCTGTGGCGCTGGCACTACCAACTCCACGCTCGTAACCAGAGCCTGCTCCGGGGCAATATAGAGATCGTTATCATAGCCTCCAATCTTTTGAGGACTCTTACTGCTCCCACAGTTACTGGAGCTATCGAGAGCTGGAACTGGCAATGGTTGTGCCTTCTCAACGGTGACAGATTGATGTGGCTGTTGTTGTTGAGATTCGTCGCTATCTCCTACACTTTTATTCGGGGCCACGTCAGGAGCTTGAATGGAATCATCGAGATCACCGCCGCTCCTGCTAGGTGTTTCCACTAAACCGCAAAACTTCTGGCGCTTGCAATTATTCGAACGCCCGGCACCCTTGCTGGAGTTACTATGGGTTGAACTACTATGATATGGGTTTGATGCTGACGCAGACGATGTCGCAGTCATAGTCACTGTCTCTGTTGTCGTGCCCAAATTGCCATCCTCAGAAGATGCCATTTCAATACCAGTGGGCTCCTTTGTTCTCTGCTTTACACTTAGGTCAGTCAAGGCCGCTTGCAGGATTCTAATTAAACCTTCCTGACCGGCGAAAGATATATTTTCTCGCGTTGGCAATATTCTTAAGACTATTGGAGCTACTTTAGGCGTATGTGTAAAGGAACTACTTATCAGTGGGATCTTCTCTGGCAATAACCTTTCCACTTGCATCTCCTTGTTATTAAACGCCCATTTATATATAAAACTGTGGTTATTAATCGTTTTATCCCGATTCCATCCCGATTCACTTGTCGATATCTAATTCTACCTGAATATGTTTTTCTTAGTTGATCACATAAGTTTCCGTGCGCTTCTCATGGCTTTATAGAGGAGTTATTCGCGCCGAATAAGTAGAATAAAGTAGCAGACACGTCAAATCTACGACTGAAAAGATGGGGCATAAAAAAAACGGAAGACATATTATAAATGTGTCAAAATATAGCGTTTTTTTGTTAGTATTCTAAGCATTCATTTCGTTTATGTGTTACTAGCTCACACAATATACATAAATTTTATACATATGCACGTTGATCCTTCATTAGCATCAATAATCGAATAATTATTGCAGAGTCAACTGTTCGTATATTATTACAGTTCGTCAACTAAGTATAGTTCGTGCCTGACTAATATTCCCAGTAAACAGATTTAAAGAAAAACAGTGGTGTCCTTTCTTCCATACCCATTTACCCAGCAAATCCCTACATAGTAAAAGAATATATATGTTACATACATATGTAGATATATACTTTTGCATGAATTCAGTATACCCTTACACCTCACAGGTAATGGACACACAAAGATCGACTTGAGCGACTGATCGTGCACGTGGCAAGTGATATACTCTCTACATATGAGTATAATATAAAATGAATTATATATAGTATATGTGTGTATATGCAAATGTATATATTTTTACTTCTACAGAAAGTATACATAACTGCATCAATTGTAGAGTGAATGAATCTACAATCATTATCGCTGTTTAAAAATATTAGGCAGCACATTATGTTGGCTATGTATATATACATCTGTATGTACATACATATTTACGACTGTGATGAATCTAAGTGCCTATAGGAAGTTACAAGTTATTTACAAATACCATACCATACCCTAGACTACGTATACAGATTGAAATATGCATACACATAATATTTAAGCAAAACCCCCAAATGCAACGAAGCGAAAAATGGCAATGGCAAGTTATGCATATACTTGTGTACATACATATGTATGTATGTACATCCAAACATACATATCTTATATGCACCTATGTAGCTATGTCTGACTGTATGTATGTTTATACATATACCTACGCGTACATACATGTGTGTCCAAACTACTGTACCAGAAAGTTTAGCAAAGTCAGCAACAACATCCAAACCAGTACGCACCGCACTGACGAAAAAGCTCATATATTGTGTGGCTGTGTGCATGTGTGGGGCTGTGTGTACAGTTATTCAGAATTACAGGGTTCGACACCGAAAACGGGATTGATACTAAACAATATACATATCTTCAATTAAATTTTTATCATTTACTAAAGATATTAACGTAAATGTGAATTAACTTTTCCTAGTAAGTCCTTTTGCGCATACCATTAGGTTGGGTTTTGTACTTTATCATTATACTTGTATAATAGATATATTTTGCACTGTACGGATCCAACGTCTCATCTAATAAAGAACAAAAAACTTTAGCTAGGTGGTATTATATGATGGTATAAGTGTGATATTATAGTATTTGGCTATACGCCGAAAATCAAGTAATGAAAAGAAAACTGTATAGCTAATCATATTTGCACCCTTGAGTGTTTATGCAACAGCGTAGGGCCACGGGCACCCTGTTTATCAAAGTACATATGTATATGCATGTAGGCGTATAGTATACGTATTCGCATTCGTTCACATGTACAACGTATCCCTGTCACGAAAGAGCCCCGAAAGCAACTGAGTCAGACCCAAACCGAGAGAGTCGAAAGCTAACACAGATCGAACCAAGAACAAAACAGTGCATCCAACGCAGGAGCTGAAATGGGGTAGGTGGGTGGTTTCTGCTGGGATGTCATGGGGAGCTGGAGCTGGGTTGGCCATTCGTGCAGGCCAGTATATTCAGAAAACATCATGGAAAATTAATAGCACACTACGAATAGGAACACACTTAACAACTGAGGCGCACATTTGTAACTATTCGAACACCTGAAGCAGTAGCATTCACAACACACATCATTCAAATTGGCGCCTTTTGTGGTGGTAGCCAATTGGCTATAGTCGGGAATCTGTAGCCAGATATCAATTGATCGATACATACATACATCATATCAACCGGTTCATGTACATACGTGGAAATACTATGTACATGTGTGCATACATAAGTACATACATATGTACATATCATATGCTCGAATGCTATAATGTCAATGATTCCCGGACAGTATTACAGTTACGATTGTAGTCATTATTCAAAAAGTTTCATGACAACGAGACAGGAAGATATGATCCAAAATATAACCTATGTATATAGTATAGATTGAACTAATAATTTAGATATCGTTAACATAAGCACTAAGGCCAATTCGTACAAAACATACGAACACATTCTTATTCGGTTCACAAAAGATATGTATAATAACAGCGAGTCGGTCGGCGGTACGGTACTCGTATTTTATTATGTACACATGCATGTATTTCTGGCTTTTCTCAGTGGATGCGGACGGGGAGGGGAGAGCAAGAGCAGCAGCAGCCCCAGCCAGCAAGAAATAAGTATTTATGTAGATATATATTTACATAATATGCATGCGACTAGTACATAGATATGTACTCACGTTTCGCTTGTATTAGAGTGTCACAAAACGCGCATTAAATAACTGCAGATTGCTGGGAATCACAATCACGGGAATCAAAACAAAACTATGGATATGATGTATGGATATTTTTTAGCTGCTATTCAATAAAACCCGACGAGCCACGAACCGTCTCCACTAAAATGCCGCAATTGAAAGACGAAAGCTTTAAGCTTTTGATTGTGATTAAGTTAAGACTGCTGCGAGAGAGATACAAATACATTGGGCGGCATTGAGATACAGCTGCCATTTATTCTGCTGCTATTTCGACAACTTTTTTCAGGTTTGATGGTGATTTTTTCGAGTACAGAGGTGATTGCTCGAGCCGGACGCGTTCGTGAGACTATCTCTCTCCAAATTTGAAAGCAATTGAAAGACGAAAGCTCAAAAGCTTGTGATTGGGATTATGTCAAGTCTGCTGCGAGAGAGACAAAACGAAAAATTAGTGTTCGTAAACGTTTCGCGGAAAACACGTAAGCCAAAGGTATTAAACTAAGCATTGGTGAAGAGCATTTGTACATTTTTCCATGTTAAGTTAGATAGGTTAATAACTTTTTTCTTCTATGAATGGGCTAAACAACATATTTTGAGCAAATTTATACAATTTTTAACTATTCATGTATTCGTGGAATTTGGTCGCCTATTTGTGCGAATAGGTTATTAGAAAATACTAAACAATACAATACCAAGATATTTGATCAGGAACAATTACATTTTAACTTTCGTTCGACGATTCATTCAATTCTCTTTTAGGCTATCCTTTCTCTGCTTTGTCTGACTTGGGGGTTTCAGATTTTGTTAATTTAAAACTCGGATTGTTCTTGCGAATCAAGTCTTAAAGTTGTAGTTTTTCCATTCTTACAAAGGTGAAGCGACTTTGGTTTATAAAGGAATAGTGATGATTGATGTATCAAGCTATTGATAGAAAATGATTTTGGTCCTTATCATGATCGATCACATTTTACGATAAATTAGTACGGAATACATAATCTTTTGTTTTGTCTCTTGCACAGACACCTCTGGTGTCTACTGAACGAAAGTCGCCCAAAATTCTGAACTTTTGTAAAATTAAAAATTTTGGAAGAAGAAGACTTCTGTCCATGGAAGGGGGTAGGGTGAGACTCACGCAAAATTCATTCACCACCTGAGAATTTTAATTTTAAATAAATTTACATACACAATTTACATACAATTTACAATACATACAATGTTTAATATTAGTTCATGTCTGGATCGGTGTCGTGATCTTGTAATCCATCTACGGATTTTTTATAAAATACAAAAAAATGTATATGATATATATGGAAAATAATTATCATACACTCTTATTTAATTAATTAACATAGTATAGAATGGCGCTACGTTACGTTGTTATCTCGTCTGTTTTTGGCTACTAAAAAATAATATACAAGGGAAACAAAAACAAAGCGAAGCGATCAAATCAAATCAATCCGATCAATCTAAGATCAATTAAGTACAGGGTGCAATCAAAGATGGAAAGCCTCGAGATAAAGCACTGTCTTTGCGTTGCACTTTTCTCTTGTTCTTTCCAGCCGGATGTAGGAGTTAACTGTCTTTCTCTCTCTTTCTCTTATCACTTGTTTAATTTTTTATTTCTGCTCCGAGATCAGTTGTTAGCAAAAGAACAATCATTGGATTCTGTGTCTTGATTAAAACCAAGTTCGCTGGTCACATTGATCTGGCCATCTCGAATCAAAAAAAATATCGTTATCGTTGCCCACTCAGCTGTCCATGGCACCATTTTCCCACGGCCATGTCAGAGATGGAGCTGAAATATACTAGAATGGTATTTAGAATAGTAACGGCGGTAACGGTATTTAGCTAGGGCTGCAGAGAATCGATGGAATATTTGTATAAAACAATAGCCGCTATTTCTATTTTTTTATTCATATTTTCTATTGAATATAATTTTTGCATATTATATATTATAATATTATTTATTAATGTATAATTAATATTTTCAATAGAATATTTACAATAAAATATATTCATGTATATGTAGACACCGGGATTCGATTTCCAGTCGGGATGTAATGAATTTTTTTTTCGATATTTTACTATTATTTATTATCAGCAGCAACAAGTGTGTATTTAAGTGCAGTACTTTACAGGTTTCGGTTACAGGTTTACCAGGTTTACCCGTTTTCAATATGCATGCATCACAGTTCGTCGGACATGTTAAATACTTAGGTGTTGCATCTAAGAAGACTTCATCGTCCCAAGTCGCGCACTTTCTGCCGTCGTTTTTCTTTAAAACGAGAAATTGAAATAAAAATCATTTGTATCACGCTGCATATTTTCCCGGAAACGGGCGTTTATGCTTAAAACGCAAAAATAAGTTAAAACCGGAGCCTGCCTGATTGTTAATTACGTTTCAAATCAGCTTGAAAACCATTTAAAAATAACGAGACATTCCGTACTATTTACGTTTCATGTTTTGACCTTTTTTGTTAAAACCTTATATAAGGCACAACCAAATAGAAGTAAGCATTTAAAATTTGCATATCTGATAGAAAATTAAATCATCAATGGGATAAACTTCTGTGTTTAGGGATGAGGGTCCTATCAAGCTAGTAATATTCAGCCGACTACCAAAATTGAGGACTATGATTTTCGTTCATAGACATAGAGAGATTTACCCATTGCCGACCAGTGGGTATTGAAATATTAGCCACGAAAATTATGAAACTTGAAGAATTTTATCGCAGTTATCGTGGTATTTTTTAAGCAAATATAAAGGATTGGATGGACCTACAAGAAATGTTATTAGAAATTACGTTAATATATCCGCGGTTTAAGTCAAGTTGTTTGTTTTCTTTTGTTTTAATATAGGGGGCCTAAGTGGGCTTCGTTCGTTTTCTCATTGGTATATTTATAATACATGTTGAAAATGAGACGGTATATTTTGTTACATTTCCGAGGATCAGGTCACACTGTTTTCGTCGGTCGTGAAAAAGTGCGTGTGTGTGTGTGTGTGTGTACGTATTTGTGATTTTATTTAAATTAAAAACTTTAAGTAATTAAAATGCTAGTTTTGTATTTTATGTTGGTTTTTGAAGTTTGAGGACAGAAGTTCCTCACAAATTTAATACACGCTCATAAATCAACCGTACTATACTTACACTCAAAAGCAAAAATACATTTTTCGGAATTGTATCTGTGTGTACGTAGATACAGATACATCCATATGTACGTACACATGCAATTGCGAATTCGTTCAAGGTTTTTGGTGTGTAAGGAAAAACGCTAACAGTGATGAACCTATGTATATATGACAATTTTCGTGAATAAATTTACGTTCATTCCCATTCCCTTATGTTGTGACCGTGCACATACTTATGTACATACATATTTACATATACAGCTACGCCGTAAAAAATAGCACCAGGGGACTGATGTGTAATTGACGGATTTTGCTTAAGTAATGGTTCTAATGACTAATATATAAGGTATAATTTATCGTATCCCAGAGCACTGGTATGATTTGCAAACTCCAAATAAAAATATTTGGAAAGAAAAGGATTTTACCAGAAATTTGGGCACCAACAAAAATAGAACCAATTTACAAAGAAATCAAAAAACTATAAAATACAAAGAAACTTTCCTCATTTGTTTGTAAATTATGTTACTTTAGTTGTATTTAAAGGTTGGAATTTTGTTGTAAAACCTTTGGCAGCAACAACAGCAGCTCAACATATTGACACTAAAGCTCACCTAATTTTCGCATCTTTTCCTTGGGATATTGATCCACGAACCATGCAGGATACTCCAAAGATCTTTATTGTTCTTTGGTTCCGCATTAAAAACATATTTTTTAACTTAACCCAAAATATTAGCAATGGAGTTCATGTAAGTAAGTGAATTGTGCTCGAACTACTTTCGAGCTTTCTTTCTAGTTTTTTGGGTCATTTTCTTGCTGGAAGACACAAAACAACTCTATTTCGTATTCTGCATAAAGCAGTATCACTGTTTCTTTGATATTGACATAGACATGTTGCCTAGTACGAAAATCATGCCCATACGATTTTGGTTGCTTTTCTATGTCTAATAAATTTACATGTGAGTCAGGGGATTGTATTCTGCATTCGGTAGTCGTTTCACACAAGAACAAGACCCTTTTACACCAAAAAATAAATTTTGGCTTTAGTCGGACCACAGGGTGTTTCTCCATTTTTCTTTGTCCCAACTTTACTGCTATTTTGCATACCAAACTTTTTTTTGCCCTATGCCTTCCCGTGAAAAGTGGAATTTTCCTTGGACTACGAGTACCTATTTTACGTTCTTGTAAACAAGATCTAACTTTTTTGGTACTTGACGAGAAATGGGGATATCGCGGCCTTTCGTCCATCTGTTTCTTATTGAAAACATATTTTAAAGCATTGCTAATCATTTTTGTTTTAACAACAGACAGCCACACCTTAGCATAGGTCCTGCCTTCTGAAATGAAAGTTTTGAACCTTTGGCTTTTTTCTTCACTTTAGTGCTTTCCAAGACCCATAATTACTTAAATTTTTTAACTTTCTTGTCACAATCACCTAAAGCCACCGATTTTTAATTCAATCAAGAACTTAAAATATAAAGAAGCTCAGAAAAGTAGAAGCCATTACATAAAACAGTTACTGGTGCTATTTTTGTTGGTGCTCCATTTCGCTCCCCTATTGCAAAATTGCCTAAAGTTATAAGAACCGTTAGAATTGAGAGAGTAAGCACACTTCTCTCAGAGAGGAGACATATAAAGCTACATTATATTACAGTAAAGTCCAGAATATGTTGGACAGTGGTCTTGTTGGGAAGGAATATAGACAGTCGTCCCTACTGGTGCTGTAAATGCCAACCACCCATACATATGTACATATATGCTACAAAACATTTCATCTATGAAATTATACACATATCTATTCGATTCGGTAATAGATTAGCATTTTAGCATATACCTAATAATAATAATAGTTGAACATATGTACATGTACGATGAGCTGAGCTGCACTTTTTCATAGTAGGCTACGGATTGAGCAGTGACTGGGTTGAAGTCGAACCAAAGAGCGGAAGTGTCAAGAAACGAAATAGACGCACAAATTTACCAAGCTAAAAATTGTTCATTGACAGTATTTCGTAATGTCTGATCTTGGAAGTGGAGATGAAGGCATCTCAGGAGGATCAAGTATGTCGAAGAGGAAGAAGCAGCGAGTGTGTCGCCTGTGCACTGACCAACATTCCCCTAATGTTTATTCTAGAATATAATGTCGCTAACATGGAGGGTTCCTCAAGCAGAAACGATTTCGATTCCTCTGGCAAAGGTACATATGTCAACTATTACTATTACTGCATTTAGCTATAAATATCAATATCTACATCTACATTTCTTATTTTCTTGAAGGTGGCGGTACAGTGGAACAGGAACTGGCTACAAAAATGCTTCAAATACAATCCAAGCGATTCTATCTAGATGTAAAACAAAATCGGCGCGGGCGTTTTATTAAAGTAGCCGAGGTAAAAAAAAAAACGAAAGCTCATATTCATTTTTTGTTTCTTTAAGTGTACATTAACTTACACCACACTGGACATCAGTCCAGTATTAAGATAGACCAAAGAAACGCCATCAATTTTAATTTGTTATTCCTATACATATGTACATATATAGGGCTTAAAAATTAATATCACTTTCGGACTACCCAGCGATAAAAAATTTGTGTACTGTTTCCGTCTCAAAAAACTAAAAAAAAAAGCTACAAAGTCAATTTATTCAATATCCTTCTCGACATATGTAATCAACATAGCTATAATCAAAAACAGCGCTATAAAATGGCAATTAAATTTCATCTTACAAAACTCATTAAGATTTTATAAAAATCTGAAATTTTATATTTATATAGCAAGAGTCAAAAAACAGTCTATTATCGTGTTGTCGTATAGTCGGGGCACTAGACTTCACATTGGTTTTACTCGTACCTGAGGAAGATTTTTTCATTTCAGATTGGCGCTGATGGTAGACGAAGTCAAATATACTTGGCCCTTTCAACTGCTGCCGAATTTCGCGACCACTTATCATCCTTTAGTGATTACTATGCATCACTAGGTACAAAATTATTGATGTACCCTTGCAGAGCGGACAAGAACTTGAAAATAATTTCTAGGTAGTCAAAAGATGCCATCCAGATCAATCAAAGTTATTTAATTTAATATTTTCAAATGCCTACAACTAAATTATAGGCAAATGAGAAAAGAAAGTCGATTCAAATTAGCATTAAAAACGTGCTAAGCAAAAACAACATTGTAATGTAGTTGTAATCGTTCTTAATTGACAAGTTTTTGAATTCTGCAAGGGTATTTCAACATCGGCAAGCCGAATCTACGATTTTCTTTTGTTTTAGTTAGATTATTTTGGAATTAATAAAATAATTATTAATAATAAGCTGGTCAAAACACAGGCCCTCCGAACACAGACAATTTGCCGGAGGATGGTAAATTGAAGTCCGAAATGATGATCAAAGATTATAGAAGATATTATTTGGATCTAAAGGAGAATGCCCGTGGCCGTTTCCTTCGGGTAATATGTATGAAATATCCTATTGACAAACATAGGCTAACAATACCTATTCAAAGGTATCACAAACCATAACAAGGGGTGGGCCTCGATCGCAAATCGCACTACCAGCCCAAGGAATGATCGAGTTTCGAGATGCGCTCACAGACTTACTGGAAGAGTTTGGGGCTAATGATGGAGGGTATAGTATAAATATATATTCCAATTTATTCATAAGTACATATGTACATGTAATGTATATTCAGGATTTCATTTAAATCTCATTTTTTTGCAATCCTGCTTGACCTTTTTTCCAACATTGTTTTACTCAATGTAAAGCAATAGCGTAAAAATAGCGTTGCCGGGCACACATCTAGATATTACAGAATATGGAAAAACAGAAAAAGAAATATATATTTTAATATTTATTTTTTCATTAGGTTTAAAGGGGACTTGCCCGAAGAGCGTCATATGAAGGTTGATAATAAAAACTTTTATTTTGATATTGGGCAAAATAATCGTGGAGTTTATATGCGGATAAGTGAAGTACGTATTAATAATGATAATAAAATAATACATTTATGACTGTTAGATCTGATTACGATACGATTTGTCATAGGTGAAAAACAATTTTCGGACCTCAATAACTATCCCGGAGAAATGCTGGATACGCTTTCGTGATATTTTTAATGATTACTGCGACAAAATGAAGAAAACGTCCGACCCAATCACTGCCGACATTAATCTACCGACATCTGCAAATAGTCTTAAATAAAGGGTATTGATAAAAGCCAATTTAAGCAATTTTAAAAGATGCATGCATCATTCTTGGCTCCTAACAAACGCGAGAGCTTATTAAAAGTGACGGAAAAATTAAAAAGCTTGCAATGTTCGAAAGAACTAAACCTTAAAATATGTGAATTTTTCAGCTTGAAAAAAAACAACAAAATATATATAAACACACACACACAGTAGCATTTAGCGAATGATGTATTAGTATTTTTTAGTTTATGTATTATAATATAGTTTAACTAAATCGACTAGCGTTAAAGGATAGACAACTTGAGCGTAACCAACAAGCAACTCAAACACAATCGAATGAATTAACTTGTATGTAAGTGTACTCAGTCAGATTCACATACCTCAGCCAAGCCACTCGCAACGTCTCTTACGATGGCTAATACAATTGTTATTGATTGACATAAATTAATGACGCCGCTTGAAAGCATCTGAAAAATGTAAAAAAAAGAATAATTATATTTTTAACTATGCCTCTTGATTAATTTATATGTCTAAATTGATGTACATACGTCTTACCCTTGCTTCGGCCGATAATAGAAACATGCTACGGATACATTTCGTGTGTCATGGGAGATGTATGTATTTAGCTAATTGATAGATTATGTCGCAATATTAATCAGGTTAATGCCATTTTGAAACTTTCATAGTAAATACATATGTACGTTGCAAATTGTTAAAGCTTCTAGAAATAATATGTTAAATATTACAAAATATCTATCTTAAAATAGCTCCTAAAAGCGTTTTTAAAACAAAAGTTTCAATGTGATCACGTAGAATAAAAATTATTAGATACGAAAAAAATGCATAGCAAATTAAATTATAAAAACATAACTCGATAGTGCAACACAGACACACACATCCCCACATCCAAGTTGTTGGTCGCAGAGGGGTATTATTATTATTATTTTAGAGAAAAACAAATCGAGTCCTATAAATATCTACGCGACAAATTACCTATTGGTTGGAGTTTTTCTATTGACATCAATGTGTATAAATTAATTATTTAGTCTTTAATGTGTTATGTATGACTTTTCAGCTTTTAAGTTCAATGAGAATGGCATTGAATTATTATCGTAAGATTATTAAAATGGGCGCTATTTCATTGCATAAAAAGAACAAATCCCAATTGTACATGCATACTGATGTGTGCAATTTGTTATATTAACACGACCATTGGCATGTTAAGACGCGTATGCGATAGAGAGCCGGTGACGGAGTTGGAGTCTGGCTATAACCTCTATACTCTTATATTTACCTGGTAAATATAAGCTAAAATAGATATGACAAAGATAATTATATATATTTAAAACCCAGAAAGTTTATCTTCGATGTTGTTTGGCAAGAATACATATTGTATATTTTAAGAGTTATGTGAAAGTACTATGAAAATAAAGTTAAAACTCAATAATATGGGAATGAGAATTGTGTCCACAGTAAATAAAAAAAATTACTGGATTTTTCCCTTTTGGTTTTGGATTACAACAATAAATCGTCAATGGTCAAAGGAAATTTTCCGGGGTCGATTACGATAAATCGATGTTGCTGTGTTTGGATATAAAGACAATAAAACAAATTTGTTACGACCATAACTCTGATTTTAATAACCAGTTTTCATATACAAGTTCATGAAAGCATAATATTGAATAAATGATCTTCGTCTATCGATCTATTTCGCCAAAAACTACGTCCAATGTTCCAATAATGGCAACGACATCGGCCAACATATGCTGTTTGCCAATTTTCTCTAACGCCGCTAAGTGGGCAAATCCGGGAGCTTTGATCTTACAGCGATATGGACGGCTGGAGCCATCTGACACTAAATAAACACCGAACTCGCCTTTGGGAGCTTCTATAGCTGTATATGTGGCGCCAGGTGGCACTTGGAAGCCTTGAGTAAATAGCTTGAAATGATGAATCAGTGCCTCCATAGAAGTTTTCATTTCGGAACGCGACGGAGGCGTCACTTTAGCATCGTCCGTCTTAATTTCTCCTGCAGGCATTTGATTGAGGCACTGGTCGATTATGCGCAGGGACTGACGCATTTCCTCGATGCGGCAAAGATAGCGATCATAGCAGTCTCCTTTTGTGCCGATCGGCACGTCAAAGTCCACAAGATGATAGGCGTCGTATGGCTGCTGCTTCCGCAAATCCCATTTGATGCCTGAACCACGAAGCATGACGCCACTGAAGCCATAGTTAAGAGCCTCCTCAGCAGTTACAATGCCGATATCCTCAGTACGTTGCACCCAGATGCGGTTGGTGCTAAGCACATCCTCCACTTCATCTAGGCGCTCGGCGAATTTTGAGGCAAACTCATAGATATCGTCCATTAAACCAATCGGCATATCCTGAAAGCTCAGAGATTAGATCTCCAAAAATTCTGACAACACTTGTACATTACCAACGACACACCACCAGGTCGAATATACGCAGCGTGCATACGGGCTCCGGAAACACGCTCGTAAAACTCCATCATTTTTTCGCGCTCCTCGAAGAGCCAAAAGAACGGTGTGAGTGCGCCAACGTCTAGGGCATGTGTCCCTACAGCCATTATGTGGTTTAGAATGCGTGTTATTTCAGCAAACAGCGCTGCAGCGAATATAGAAATGCAAAAAATATTTAATGTAATGATTTGATCTGAATATACTCACTGCGTATGTACTTGGCCCGGAGAGGCACATCAATATTAAGTAGCTTTTCTACGGCCAGAGAGTAACACTGTTCGTTGCACATCATCGAAACATAATCCAAACGATCAAAATAGGGAAGAGCCTGCGTATACGTCTTGTACTCAATAAGCTTCTCCGTGCCACGGTGCAGCAATCCGATATGTGGGTCCGCGCGCATAACAGTCTGCAAAAAGTTTACATACCTTAATAAAATGGCTATATGTGCAAAAATTATTTTCAATTTTTCTTAAAAAGTAATAGCTGCTTTTTTGGTTTGACTATGTAGTTCTCTTCTCTTATTGTTGTGCTCAGTTGCGACAAATTTTCGTCTTCTTTGAACTCCATTTGTGGTACCATTAGCTTAGATAAGAGATCAAGCTCAAAATAATTTTCAGCAGGATAATGCGCCAATTCATGTTCTTTCTGGGCCTCAATGGACTATTTTGTGACCCACAATAAACCGTTGATTAAGTGGGCTTCAATGAGTCCGGACTTAAATCCAATTGAGGATCTGTGCGGAACCTCTCACACTTACCTCGCCGTCCAGTTCTAGCACCAGCCGGAGTACTCCGTGAGCAGCGGGATGTTGCGGACCGAAGTTAAGTGTCAAATTGCGCACCGACTTTTCGACGGGCGTGACTTTGCCTAATTTAAGATTTGGATGGGAAGGTGAAGAGTTGAAGTGTTAAATATTATATTATATTATCCACTTCATCTGTGTCGCAGCAATGTACATACTATTCCATGGGGGCACTTTCCAGAGCGAAGTTATTTCGTCGGGATACATCACAGGGCCGCTGAACTGCTTCATGAATTCCGGATCCGGGTACCATTTCGCAGCTGCACGGCGGTGCTGATGCGAACTGGGATAAAGAGGAAAAATAAATTAAAAAATTAGACATTTTCAACAATTATGTAAGCGGATCGATGCTATACCTTAGTAAGCCGCATCCTATTACAGAGGACTGCGGCGGCTGTAACCCAAAACCCTGTAACTGCAACCCGGAGCGCAGAGAACGTTTCACAATGCTGGCGAAAGCCATTTCTCTCCAAAATAATTAATGCAGCAAAATTAATTAATTATTTTGATTTAGAGGCAGTGTGACCGCGGATTTATCGATAAAATATACCGTCCGACCCTCACAAATATACTGAAACATACCGCCTCATTTTCAAAATATACCGTAAATATACGATTTCAAGTTATATTTTACATATTTCTTGTTTTTGATATTCCGTCGAATATAGCTATATAGAGCTATATAGAACATTTAGCCATGCTATCATAATTTTATACGATTGATGAATCAATTTTCTACTTGATTGGCTTAATTTAAAACATTTCTTTTATTGGATTTCTATATAACGTTGAAAATGAAATTTATAGATTGATGAAATTGACAAAATATACCATTATATACCGATCTACCGTAAATATACCGTCGGGTCAATTTTGACCTCACAAATTACCGAAGTGTATTAAAAATACCGTAAGCGGTATAAAATATACCGTCCGATCCTCGGAAATATACCGTCTCACTTTAAAAATATACCGTAAATTTACTGACGATTTCAAGTTATATTTTACATATTCCTCGTTTTTTATATTCCGTCGTATATTACTAGCTAAATACATATGTACATCATTTTATCCGATTAATGACTCAATTTTCTGCTTGACTGGCTTGTTTTAAATACTTGACTTGTTTGATTGTTTTTGCCTCAAATTTTGATTTGAATACTGATTGTGAATTCTTCTTGTAGAACCATGTCATCTTTCCCCTGAACTTACAAAAAAACGATATCTTTCACCTGAACTGCGCTAAAATGATTCAATTTTCATTATTTTACTCCCATATTCCTTGATTCTAATATTCCGTTGAATATTACTAGTTATATAGAACCCTCAGCCAAGTCCTCATAATTTTATCCAATTAATGAACTTAATTTCTACTTGACTGGTTTATTTTAAAAACTGGCTTTTATTGGATTTTGTAAAAAAAAAGCTTTTAGAGAATAATGCTGGCAAACAAAAACCGTCAGCTCTGCCCACATATGTATATACATAGTTTTATCTTATTTATGAATAAACTTTCTACAGGATTAAACAAGGTTTAAACAAAAAAGGTTCAACAAAAAAATGTTTTCACGTCAATGGTATTTGAAGACTTGTTGCTTATCAACAATTTTTATACTCTATTTCCTTTTTATTTCCTATTTCCTGTTAAAATCTGTTTTCCAAGCTGCTTTAAAAAGTAACTAATAATGCATTTTTCTGAGATATCTCGATCCCAATACCTATTCTTGGCCTCTGTAAGAAGACCACTAAGTGCAAAATATCGTTGAAATACCTTTACAACTGAGACTGACTAGTTTTGTGGAAAGCTTTGGTGAAGTCAAGGGATATTAAGGTTAGATGTTTTTTTGGGCAATGGCTTTGGTAGCTAGGTGGTCTACGTAGAGTAGACTATCTAGTACCGATTTGCCTCTTTTAAAACCTAGTTGGCTGTTGCGAATTAGTTTGTTGTTCAAAACAAACCACCATAACCTTTTTGCCACTATCTTATCGAGCGTTTTGGCTAGGCATGAGTTAAGTGATATGGGTCTGTAGGATTTTATGTCTGTTAGTGGTTTTTGTGATTTTAGAATCGGGAGGACTAGGCTGAGTTTGAGCGATTGTGGGATGTATGAGTCGATTATTTTGTTAAAGTGGTTTATTATTCTGGTTTTAAGGGTGGGGGGTGCGTTTTTGTATCATTTAGTAGGAGATGCGGTCGAGGCCGGGGGTGTTTCCTTTCAGGGATTACAGTGCTGATGAGAATTCTATGAGTGTAATGTCCTTTTCGATTTCTAATGCTGGTGGAGTTGGGGTGTTGTTTATAAGGGAGTCTGTGTGGGATTTGTTCGTACGGAATGTTGGGGAGAAATTACGATCGTAAGCTTCTTCTGACCACGTGTGGGCGAAGGAGTTGGCTATTTTGGTTTGGTTGGTTGTGTTTGTTTGGGTGTGTAGGTTAAACATATTGTAAATGATTTTGACAAGGTTTTTTTTTTATTTTTTTTTAATCTTATTAGAAATCAGCTTTACTTAAATTATGATCTAATATTAGTGATATTTACATTGGCTTACTACATATTTTAAGAGTTTAATGATTAGGTTAATATATACATACATTTTAATGATGTGTTATTCAGCAAATTTTTCTATTTTTATACCCGATACTCAAAATGAGTATTGGGGTATATTAGATTTGTGGTAAAAGTGGATGTGTGTAACGTCCAGAAGGAATCGTTTCCGACCCCAAAAAGTATATATATTCTTGATCAGCATCAGTAGCCGAGTCGATTGAGCCCTGTCTGTCTGTCCGTCCGTCCGTCTGTCCGTCCCCTTCAGCGCCTAGTGCTCAAAGACTATAAGAGCTAGAGCAACGATGTTTTGGATCCAGACTTCTGTGATATGGCACTGCTACAAAAATATTTCAAAACTTTGCCACTTTGTAACGAACAGTTAGAACATTAAGTGCAGCGGGCGTCAGCCCTAGCCTACCTGAAATGTCGTGACCACCAGACCCCAAATTCCACGCACCGTGGGACAAATCATCGTGTCTTGAACCCAAATACATAAATTACACTAATCAGAATAGACAATAAAACCTTCATTATTAAAAAGTCTTAGACTTTCAATGTGGAGGTGAAGTAGACTCAGTCAAAACGAGGGGGAACGTTGTGAGTTGCTGCGGACACCGCAACTCTACAGTTATACCCGATACTAAGTCAGTATGGCTCTCCTCCGGCAGACGCCGCTAATATTAAACGACACGACAAAGAGTGCATGCGAGAGAGACAGAAAATCAGTCTGAGCGTGACGTCGGGCGCTGCGTAGCCATTGAAAATTGTTTTTTTTCTTTTCGGCTATGAAAATTATCCGATCTGATCCAAATTCAGCAAGTGGATAGATATGGCCATTCTCTATGATTCTGCGTTTTTAGTGTTCTCGAATCTGCAATATTGTGGATGCAACAGATTTTCGTCCTTTGTGGGAGCGGATGGGGGTGGGGCGAAATTCTGAGATATACGTTTTATAGTGAGATCTAACAGAAGTGCGGATACTAAATTTGGTAACTCTAGCCTTAATAGTCTCTGAGATTTGTGGATGGCCCAGATTTTCGTCCTTTGCGGTGGCGGAAGGGAGTGTGGCGAAATTTGGACACGAAACGGTCAAGGTCCAATATTACAGGAGTGTGGATACCAAATTTGGTTGCTCTGGCTCTTATATAAGTTCTGAGATCCTTGAACTCATATTTTGCAATTGGCAAAACCGACCATGAAACCTGTGTGTTAGAGAGAGACAGAGCGAGAAATAATGAAATTGTTTTCTTGATTCTGGCTATAATAAATATATGATCTGGTTGAGATCTTACATTCTAGAACATATAGTCATCCTCTACGATTCTGCGTTTTTGGTTTTATCGTATCTTTAGAAATGTGGATGCCACAGATTTTCGTCCTTTGTGGGGGTGGAAGTGGGCGGGGCGAAGTTTTGAAATATTTTTGTAGCAGTGACATATCACAGAAGTCTGGATCCAAAACATCGTTGCTCTAGCTCTTATAGTCTTTGAGCACTAGGCGCTGAAGGGGACGGACAGACGGACGGACGGACAGATAGACAGGGCTCAATCGACTCGGCTATTGCTGCTGATCAAGAATATATATACTTTATGGGGTCGAAAAGATTCCTTCTGGACGTTACACACATCCACTTTTACCACAAATCTAATATACCCCAATACTCATTTTGAGTATCGGGTATAAAAACACAATTTTTACATCACGACGGGGATTGCAACCCGGTCTCCATCCCGGGAAGGCGCGGAGGGGTGGAAGTACTACCCACTATACTGCCAAATGTATTACCTAATGGAAGCTAAAAGTCAAAACTAAAAGTAATATAGTTTTACAAGAGGGATGAAAAAGTAAAGAAATTGTCAAGAAGAACAGGTAGGAAAGGAGAAATTGGTATAAATAGAGCTGAAATTTGCAAGAATTCTTACCAGTTCTTACTCTAAACATAATGTAACAACATGTTCCACCAAATGAATCTACCATTTGTGTACCACTCGAGTGCCGAAATGTCTGTGTCTGTCCCGAGAATACGAAGACGACGATTTCCAAGGGCCGGGCAGTGGCAGAAGAAGTGGAGGACCGATTCCTCCTCTTCCTCGTCGCGATAACTCCTGCAGAAGTCGTTATGAGGGATTGACAGTCTAGAGGCATGAGTGCCGATCTGCCAGTGTCCCGTAATGGCTCGAGTAACTGCAGAGCACTGTGTTCTGCTGAGCCTATACAGCTCGGCTGAGCGCTTCTTCGATCGATATGGCCATATCAATCTTGAGATTTTACAGGAAACGGTTTGCTGCCATCTCCTATTGGCATTTTGCACGAACAAATCGTGCGTGAGGAGCCTGCACGTAGCCAGAGGCATCGCTACCTGCTTCCTCTCCATAAGGAGGAATTGTAGTACCCTGCCTGGCTGGCTCGTCGGCGGCGTCGTTTCCCTCGATGACCCTGTGGCTGGGGACCCATATAAGGAAGAGATCTAACTGCTCTGCGATCTCGTGCAGAGACCTGCGGCAGTCATTTACAGTCGCTGAGTTCGACGATATTGAGCCTAGAGCTTTAATAGCCGCTTGGCTGTCCGAGAAGACGCACACTAAGTGCATGTCTAGACGTAGTTTGTAGACGATAGAAATGGCCGCCTTGATGGCTTCAATCTCCGCTTGGAACACACTACAGTGGTCCGGGAGCCTGAAGCAATGACTGATTTTCAGCTCGCTGCAGTAGACTCCGCCTCCCACGCGGCCGTCTAACTTTGAGCCATCAGTGTAGAAGTTAACCGCATTTGCGGGTGCTGGTTCGCCCATCTCCCAGTCCTCCCTAAGTGGGATTGATACCTGGAAAGGCGTCGAGAGGTGATCACTAGGGACACAATAATCTGTCCTCTCTGGTAATTGCGGGTGTCTCGTCAGGATTCCCGAGTGCCCAACCGCGGATGCTTTCCACAGTCTGGCTTCTCTCATT